AAAAATAATAATTTTTTTTAAAAGGTGCACACGACCACCACGGTTGGGCGGCTGCCGCACGCCCGCCTGGTGGCCACCGCTGCTGGCGGTTGCTGAAAGTGTGCAATAAGATAAGGAAGCAGGATCAGGATCCGTAGCAATCTTGTGAAGCTGTGAGGAAAGCCCTTGTGCACTGGTGGTGGTGGCCGTCGGCCGGTGGTGCCTTTGTTGGTGGTCGGCCGGTGGTGGTGTGTGTGTGGGTGGTAATTGAAAAACATTAAAATTAAAATAAGGGGAAGGGGAAAAATTAAGGGGAAAAGAAAATAAGAGGAGAAAGAGAGAGTTTACCTTTGGGTGCATTCCACCTTAGGCATATGATGAGTATTTATACCCCTTCTCAATATCCCTCCTACTTAAAATTTCTTTACTACCCTTAATGATCCATTTCCTAGTCAAACTAGTATTTTGACTTTCCTTAAATACCATTGACTTTAAAAATTATCTTTTTATAAAATAATATGCCCCAATATTTCAGTATCATAAAATAAAATATTTAAAAGATTACTAAATAATTAAAAATAAACTTTTAATTAAAATAATTCTTTTTAAATCTGTAAAAACCATAAATAATTCATTTTAAATTATTTAAATACTTTAAGAAATACTTATTTAATTAAAATACGTATAAAAATACAGGGTATTACAGTTTAACCCCCTTAAAAGAAGTTTCGTATAATATTGATGTACTCTTTTGTCATGCTTTTATCTTTACTGTCTTTTTGAAATCAAAATTACTCGAAATAACCGTCAAAAATGTGCAAAAAGAACAAAAATAACTGAAAATATAGGGAAAAAGCGTGAAATTCTACCGCATTCTACCCCCCTTAAAGAACACGAGTTACATCCCCGTAACTCAACATACCTTAAACAACTCGGGATACTTCTTTTTCATCTCATCCTCAGCTTCCCAAGTTGCTTCCTCATACTCTTGGTTAGACCATAGCACTTTAACAATCTTAACTTCCTTATTGCGTGTACTACGCACTTTACTGTCAAGGATCTTGACAGGTCTTTCCTCATAAGTTAAGCTTTGATCTAACTCAATAGTTTTGGGTTGTAGCACATGTGACTTATCAAGGATATACCTTCTTAACTGAGATACATGAAATACATCATGCACTTTACTTAGCTCCATAGTTAAGGTTAGCCTATAAGCTTCTTTGCCTATCCTTTGCAATACTTCATATGGACCAATATACTTTGGGTTAAGCTTCCCTTTCTTTCCAAATCTCATTACACTTTTCATTGGCGACACCTTCAACAATACTTTGTCACCGACCTCAAATTCCTCCTCTCTACGCTTCAAATCCGCGTAGCTCTTTTGGCGATCTTGCGCCACTTGAATCTTAGCTTGGATCTCCTTTACCTTTTTAACTGTATCCTCGATCATTTGAGGCCCTAAAATCATTGTTTCACTTATGTCGTTCCAACAGATTGGACTGCGACACTTCCTTCCATATAATGCCTCAAATGGAGCCATGCCAATGCTTGCATGGTAGCTATTATTATAGGAAAATTCAATTAAGTCCAAGCTATCTTCCCATCCCCCTTGGAAATCTATAACACAATCCCTCAAAATGTCTTCCAAGGTTTGAATGGTTCTCTCAGTTTGCCCATCTGTGGTAGGGTGAAATGTTGTACTTATCTTAAGTGTTGTACCAAAGTTATCCTGCATACTCTTCCAGAATCTTGAAAGAAACCTAGAATCTCTGTCAGACACAATATCTTTTGGAACTCCATGTAATCTCACCACATTTTTGATGTAAGCTTTTGCAAGTTGCTCCATCTTCCAGGTCTTCTTTATTGGTACAAACACTGCAGATTTTGTAAGTCTATCCACTACTACCCAAATGGTGTCATTTCCACTCTTTGACTTTGGGAGACAAGTAACAAAGTCCATTGAAATACAATCCCATTTCCATCAAGGAATTTCCAATAATTGCACAGTTCCTTGCGGTCTTTTGTGTTTTATCTTCACTTTTTGACAAGTTAGACACTTCGACACAAATTCCGCAACCTCATTCTTCATTTTGGGCCACCAATATATCTTTTTCAAGTCTTTATATAGCTTGTCCCCTCCTGGGTGTACAGAGTATGGTGAATTGTGACCCTCTTCCATCAAATTTCTCTTTACCTCCTCACATTTTTGTGGTACACACTAACGACCTTTGTACCTTAACTCCCATCTTCATGAATCTTGAAATCCGTAGCTTTTCATTGCTTTATTTTATCACGAATCTTATCCAACTTTACATCTCCTGCTTGATTTTCCCTTATCTCATAAAATCTTGTTGGTTCAATACTTAGATTTGCAAGTATGCCTGCTGGCACTCCCCATTCTACCACTTCTAGATTCATTTTCCTCATCTCCCTACATAACTCATCAGCCACTATCAAAGTATTCAGTCCATGACTGGTTTTACGACTTAGAGCATCTGCAACTACATTTGCTTTTCCTTCGTGATATTATATGTCTAAGTCATAATCTGTCGTATATTCTAACCATCTCCTTTGGCGTGAGTTTAAATCCCTCTGAGTGAAAATGTATTTCAAACTCTTATGGTCTGTATAATCCTACATTTCACTCCATACAAGTAGTGCCTCCAAATCTTTAACGCAAAATGATTGCGGCTAGTTCTAAATCACGAGTAGGGTAATTTACTTCATGAGTCTTTAAATGTCTTGATGCTTACGCAATACCATTTTGCATAAGTACACATCCTAGACCATTCTTGGATGTGTTACTATATATATCATAAATTCCACTATCGTCTGGTAGTGTAAGCACTAGCGATGTAATTAGCTTTTTTTTCAAAAGTTGGAATGCTTCCTCACACTTATCATCCCATTCAAACTTCTTGTCCTTCTTAATTAGAGAGGTCATAGGTTTAGAAATATTTGAGAAATCTTTCACAAAACGCCTATAATACCCTACTAAACCTAAGAAACTCCTAGCGTTAGACACTGTTCTTGGCGTAGGCCAACCTTTTACTGCCTCTATCTTTGCTGGATCTACTTCTACCCCATTTTTGGACACAAAATGGCCCAGAAATGCCACTTTCTACAACCAAAACTCACACTTAGAGAACTTTGCGTAAAGCTTATTTTCCCTTAGTGTTTGCAGAATTGCCCTTAAATGTTCTACATGTTCTTTTTTTTTACTCTTCGAATGCACCAGTACATCATCTATGAACACTACCAGAAACTTGTCCATAAATGGATGAAACATTCTATTCATCAAGTCCATAAAGATTGCTAGAGCATTCGTTAATCTAAATGGCATTACTGTGAACTCATAATGTCCATACCTTGTTCTAAATGCAGTCATGGGAATATCTTCTTCTGCAATCCTAAGTTGATAGTATCCAGACCTTAAATCAATCTTTGAAAACACAGTTACGCCTCTCAACTGGTCAAAAAGGTCATCAATCCTTGGTAAAGGTTACTTGTTCTTTATGTTGACCTTATTTAACTCTCTATAGTCAATACATAACCTCATACTTCCATATGTCTTCTTCACAAATAACACTGGCGCTCCCTAAGGTGATGCACTTGGTCTTATGTATCCCTTTTCTAATAAATCCTGCAATTGCTCCTTTAACTCACTCATTTCAACAGGTGCCATTCGATATGGTGCCTTGGAAATTAGTGTTGTTCCTGGAACTAGCTCTATTGTGAAATCAATTGCCCTTTTTGGTGGCATTCCAGGAATCTCTTCTGGAAACACATCCAAAAACTCATTTACTACTTCTATATCCTCAGGTGTAGTTTTCTCCTCATGCTCCATATTCCTCACACCATAACAAATACACTAGATGCCCTTTTTTAAATATACTTTGCCAATTTTAACACATATATGACCCTTGAGCACTTGGATTCACCGTGCATCCAATGTGTCACCAACTCATTATTAGCTGTACTCATTTTTACTTTCTGCGATCAATAACAATCTCTGCACTGTATTTGCTCAACCAATCCATTCCCAAAATGACATCGAAGTCACTCAATCCAAATTCAATGAGATCCGACAAAAACACTTTTCCTTCGATTTCTAAAGGTACATCTTTAAAGGTCTTGTTACACTTTACTACCCCACCCACAGGAATAACTATAGGCAAATCTACGGTTTTCAAACAATTTGATAACATCGAAATAATGCCTTTGAAATGAAAGAAAAAGTTGCACCAGAATCAAACAAGACTTTAACAGGAATAAAGTTAATAGAAAAAGTACCAGTGATGACATCTTTCGTGGAATCAGCTTCATGCCTACTCATCACATTTTGTTTCCTTAGAGCTCCACTCTTCACATGATTTCCCCCATTATTATTGTTGTTGCCCTTCGCTCCATTATGTTGCACCCCCTTGTTCCCAGAATAGTTGTTACTTCCCTGAAAGTTCCTTTGAGCCCCACCTTGATTATTTCCCTGCCTGTTTCTATTGGGGGTCCTTGGAGAAACATTCATACTCCCTGTGTCCTAGCTTGTTGCAAGCACGACATGTAACCAAATTCCCATCACAATCCTTTCCAGGGTGGTCGTTCTTACACCTCTTGCAATAGAAATTCCTTGCTCCCCTATTATTTCCCTGGTTAGAGTTCGTAGCTCCACCATTAAAGTTCCGTCCACCTTGGCGATTTGGTGCCTAGGAAATTATTGTTGTTGTGGAAGTTGTTGTTATTATGGTGGTACTTTTGCTTTTTAAAGTTGTTCTGGTAACCTTGCGGGTTTCCAGAATTCTATCCCACCTCTTTTCTCTTTTCTTTCCCTTCTATCTCAGCTATCTCTTTCCTTTTCTTTAATTCTAAGGCATATAGGTGTTCAGCTCTCCCATACACTTCATCCAAGGTTTCAAATACTTGCCCACACAGCTTTAACTGCAAATCAGTAGTCAAACCACTCTCAAACTTTCTAGCCTTAGACTAATCTGTAGAAACAGACTCCTTAGCGAATCTTGACAGCTCTATAAACTTGGTGTAGTATTCAGTGATTGACATTTTTCCATAACGAGATTAGAAAATTCCTCAGCTTTTTGTTTCTGTAAGAAGCTAGGGTAAAACTTGTCCCTAATCTTCTCCTGAAACATAGTCCAATTAACTCCAGGTAATGCCTTAATGGTAGCCTCATTTTGCTGCCACCAAAGGTCAGCTTCACCCCTAAGGTAATAGGTAGCACAACCTACTTTTGAGTTCTCTGGACACCCTACCCCCTCGAACAGTTTCTCAAACTCCCTCAACCAGTTTTCCAGTACCGTTGGATCAGGCTCTCCTTGATAGGTTGGTGGCTTGCTCTGCGCCACCTTCTTAAATAGCTTTCCTTGAGCATCAGCACTATTGGTTGAGTTCCTTGCCAATTGTTGGGCAATAGCTCTCAACTGCCTCACAACCTCACTTTGCTCTCCACCATCATTCTTGTTACCACTCCCTCCTGCCATCTTTCTTCGCCTGAATTAACATAAAGGGGTCTTTATTAAATACGGTCTTGGAAAGCTCTCAAGTTAAACACCCACCTAACTAGCTAACACCCTAGAAGCGTACACATTAAAATTTAAGCTAACAAATTGGGATTTTTAAACTCCCAAAATTTGTAGTTTTTCAACCAAATATTGATTGCTAACCTACCACACATTTAATAAAGCATTACATTAATAAATAAAAATAATTCCCATGGATTCCCAGAGTTTAGAAATAAATTATTGGAATATTTGTGAGTAAGAAATGGCTTCTTGGAGTAGTGATACGAAATAAATGATTTGGGAACAAAATGAATGATTTGTTAATAAAATGAATTAGTTGACAAGGAAATGAATGAAATTTTATTGCTCAGTAAGAAAATGAATGGAATACTGAAATAAAATGAGTTCAAATAACTTATGCAACTACATAAGTTTACTGGCTCACTGTGGACATGCCACTTATTGCTTCACTGAAACTGGAATAATTAAAATGCAGAAATGAATCTAAGAATCCTAAAGAAATGAAATTACAAAAATCTAGTCCTTTCGAACTTTATCCCTCCTGTAGGGAGATTGTTTGTAGCTTCCAGGATCGAATTCAAGGTCATCCTTTTCCTCCATTGGTTCAGGTGACTCTGGTTCTAGCTTTACTTGGACAAACTCTTCACCTTCCTCATCATCAGATGAAATATCAATTATAATTGGAGTTGGATGTGGATTTGGATTTGGAATCTCCATAATGGAACTATCAACGGTATGGTTACCCTCATCCATCATCTCTCCTTCTTCTTTCCCTCCACCTATCCCTGTTTGATTACCTTGAGTGGGAGAAGAACTTCCTGATTGATGACTAGTGGAAGGCGAATTATTCCCTGCCAGAATATTATAGTAGTAGTTGGGATATGGAATGTCTAAGTACTAACAATGATCTTTCTCAACTTTAACAAGGTAAGAAATCAAGTATCTGTAATCAAGATACCACAATCCATAGAAATTTTTATATTTAGAGTACTTTAGAATGTCCCCTGGTAAATAGAAATCAAAAAATTTTGCTTTGACAGCAAGATATGGAGGTTCATCTGGAAGACAATGAATAATCATAGCAGAAACACAATTAGGAAGATCATATTTCTTGTCTCCTAAGACATTACTCGTGTAGGCACAATAGAATTGGATTTTGTTGACATAGTCAAACGGATGTTCATAGTCTTTCTTGATTAGAGTACCAATTTGGGAAAGTTTGCTAGGAAGAATTGACATCCTGAAAAGATAAAAGGTTTAGAAAATAATTCCCTTCCCAAAGAAAATAGAAACAATACAGTTCTTACATGAATTAGGTTCAATGTTCAATCAAACAATTTTACTTATTCTAGTCATGTTATCACATGCTTTCAATCAATTCACATGATCAAACATCACAACCTAAAATATTAATGCATCCAAGAACATAATTATTTCTAACTTATATGCCCAAGTTCTTTCCTACCCAAGCTCACCAGCATGCTTTTAAAAGCTTTTAACACATAATACTTACCTCAATCCTTGCTTTCCTGCAAAATGAACAAACTAAAAATATTTTTGACTCTTCTTTTAAAATAAATTTTCAAAAATAAACTCGAAAAAGACCAAAATATTCGGCCGTATTAGAAAAATTTTGAACACCCAAAATAAAATAAAAAATTCGGATGTCCCTTTATTAAAAAAAAAATTCGGAATTTTCAAATTAATAAAAATAAATAAATTTGGACCACTTAAAAAAAAAGAAAATAAATTTTTTGGTTTCCAAAAATTAAAATAACTTAAAATAACTCTCTTTTAAAATAACTTATTTAAATAAGCACTTGGCCAAGTTTAAAACAAAATACTTTAAAACACGTTTTTAGCTTTAGTGGTAATAAAAATCTGAACCAAAACTCCCAGATACCACTTAGTAACACCCTAAAAATTCCTTTCCTTTAAAATACCAAATTTTGCACTTTTTAAAATACGAAATAAAAAAACCTAAGACATTATTGCCACCGTGAAAACGGCTAAGGCAAATATCAAAGACTCACACAGCGGTAGACTATCCTTAAAAAAAACATTGAAAACAAGTCAACTTAAGAAGTTAAACCAAAAGAAAGTAAAGTCAAACTAAATCAAACAAAGTCAAACGAAGTCAACCTACAACTTGGAACCATTGTAGGCCCTTAAAACCAAACAATATTAAAAACCTTTGCGTTAGTCTCATGAGCAAAATAAAAATAAATAATATTGAAAGCAAATAAAACACATCATATTCCTATGGAAACTAAGCATGCTTCGCTCTTCACTCGTGCCCATCGTGAATATGCTTCATCACCTGAAAAGCTTCTCTCTACTTGTCCCCACTACTCGCCATTGGAAATGGGTCGTCGTAGGGCCAAGGTAAAGACAAGGCCAAACAAACATGCAAACACACAATCAGCAATGCTGAGTACATAAGCATAATAAAAACACACTAACATGCTTTCATCCTATAAACATACAACTTACCGTGTTGCACCTGTTTACAAGCATACAAAACATTCAACAATTAACTAGACAAATACTAATGTTCATTAGATTTTGATTACACATCGAACGGGTTTCCAACCAAATCCCTGCCTCAAATAAATTGAGGTAAACTACAACGGGAGCTAACTGGGTAGGTAAATGTCAAATGAAGTGACTGGACGTCCTGCGCATAAAATAAAAAAAGGAAAATACAGCGTCTTGTACTCCCAGTAGAAGTCATGGTTAAATATAAAACCCCATAACTCCCCCCATATGTTCATACTCAAGGTATAGACGTTCCAAGATTATTGGTGTGTAATCCTTTTCACTTTACGTTGTTTAAATATTATTATATTTGATGATGACTCTCAAACCATAGTGTTTCGGGGTTTTCTGATGTCCTGCGGGAGAGTTACAATTCCGAGACTGGAACCGGACGCCTGTACCTGCAAAACAAACGGACACTCCGAGTGGTTTGGAGATCCGCCTCCAACGGTCAAGTTAGTACTTGTTTTAGAAGTAATTAATGCGGAATATTGTAATTGTGTCTCTCTAGGTGAGAGTGTTTAATATGCGTAATCCCCTTTAATGAGGATTAATGAGCATATTTATATGCTTTGGGATGCGTGCCAATTCCTAGGTTTAGGTTAAACATAGAACTGACTGAGCCTCCCACGAGAATTGGGCCTTGTTGGCCGGTTTTCCCATTTAGCATGGGTGGACACGTGTCGCGTCGCAATTTATCCATGGAGGACGTATCTCTGATTGACACGTGGCAGGCTCCTATTGGCCTACGTGAAGGGCACGTGGCGGAACCTGGTTGGTTCACTTGTCAGATGGTGATTGGTGGATAAAAATCCCCTAATCATTTGCCCCTCACAGGTGGCACGTGACTGGTCACGTGTTACCTGTGACAGGTGTCGCATCGTAACAGGCGACGGCCTGCTACAGGTGTCACTTGATGTAAGGCCGAGAGGTTTTCCTGCTCAAATTTTGAATTTGGGAGTGACCCTTCGCCTTCTCATTTTGCTTATATAAGGGTGTTTTGGCTTCAGTCATTTTCACACTTGAGAACTTTTTAAGAGAACATTCAGACCCCTGAACCTGGTCTGACATTCCGGATACTTTCTGCCTACCGCCTACTCTGACAAGTCGGCTGTTTTCTCAGAATTTTCAGAACTTCGTCAACTTCTCACTCGTTCAGGTAACCGTCGGTTCTCTTGCTATTTTAATTTTTCTTTATTTTTTCCTTTTTGAAATGGCACCACGGAAGCACACGACACAACCTAGGTTAGTGATTAGCCGGATACTTTCTGCCTGCCCTTTACCGAACCAATCTTTGCCCTTTATACAAAGTCCGACTGTCTCTGTGTCTATGCAGAACATAATGGCCAGAACAAAAAGAACTTCTAGGATCACAAACTCAGACGGCTCCTCCTACCAGGTGCCGATTAGTGAGACATCTGACCAGGCGTCAGATGCTGAAGTGAACCAAGGCGGCTTGATCGCCGACAGCTCTGAGGGAGGGGTCAAGGTGGTCCCTTCCCATTTTACCGTAGACATGTCTACATTTTCTCCTGCTCCTATTGAAGGATAGGAGGCGAGCCCCTCTGGGAGAGGAGAGGAATCGTCCTCTTCGGACTCTTCAGAGGACGAGTCCGAGTCTAGTTCTTCTGGCCATGCTTCTATAGACACAGAGGAGAAAAACAACCGCCTACAAGAGGCGAGGTTTTCTCATGCAGTTGAGAAAGGGGACAATTGGGCGGAGCCATCCGCCTCCTATAGAGAGCAAAATACCCCTTACTACTGCACGGTTCCAAAAGGCCGGATCAAGGCCATGCAAGAGAAAGTGGGGAGCTTTATTGTGAACCACGTAATGGGGCCTGGCTTTTTAGTTTTTGTGCCAGACCCGGAGGACACAGTCGTCTGGCCGGCTAGTACCAGCTACGATAGCGCCTGCTTTGGCTGCTATGAGGCGGCCATCAGAGTTGGGCTGCGCTTCCCCCTACATCCGGCTGTTCAGCGGATCTTGGATGGGTATGAGTTGGGGTTATGGCAGTTAGCCCCAAATTCCTGGTTCAACGTTCTCGGCTATGTGGCCGGGTGCAAACTGCACGGGGTGGAGCCAAACTTCGAGGTTTTCGCCCACATGAACTATCTCAGCCGGACCCCTAAGGCAGGCGGTACCGGCTGGTACCAATTGACGAGCCACCGTGGCTATCTTATGAAAAGAGGTAAAGAGAACAAATGGAAGGATTGGAGAAGCACCTTCCTTATCATTGAGAGTTCAGACACGGAGCTGAACAAGCGCTTCAACAGGTGGAATAGAGATCCGCCTCTTCTTGCAGGCGGTCGCAGCATGCCGCCTGTTCCCCCAAGAGCTAAGAAAGAGATCCTGGACAAAGGACTCTTTAAAGTAGAGACGAGGGTCGACTCTACTACAGGGGTACGAGAGCAAGTACCCC